TCTCTAATGCCCAGATACGCAAATATCCCACACATAGGAGAGAAGAGCTTATGACAACGTTCCATTTACAAAGTGTGACTTTGTAAATGGTATAAGCCGGACCGATATGTTGTCAAAAGTTTCTCTCTCCTATGTGTGGGTTATTTGTGTGTTGTTCCAGTCATAGTATTGTGCCTTTTTGTTCTTTATAGTCTCTAATGCTCATCCATCTATTGCCATTTGTCATTTACAGCTGTTGTGAACTGGGTAATTTTGATGATACAGTAAGCTATTTATGAGGCTGCAGTACTCATAGCATGATTATTTTTTTTTTAATGCAGTTGAAAGTGCATCCATAATTGAATGTCATATACCATTAAGGCTTTATCATGTGCTGTTCAATGAGCCACATTTGCAAAAACATGCAGTGTGTTGAGGAGCTTTGTAAATGAGCTGACCAGCTGTTAGTACAGGAGGTCCCCACTTAAACAGCATGGGTTCCAGGCTACTGCTGTACAGGAGGTCCCTGCTTATACAGCATGGGTTCCAGACTACTGCTGTACAGGAGGTCCCTGCTTATACAGCATGGGTTCCAGACTACTGCTGTACAGGAGGTCCCCACTTATACAGCATGGGTTCCAGGCTACTGCTGTACAGGAGGTCCCTGCTTATACAGCATGGGTTCCAGACTACTGCTGTACAGGAGGTCCCTGCTTATACAGCATGGGTTCCAGGCTTCTGCTGTACAGGAGGTCCCCACTTATACAGCATGGTTCCAGGCTACTGCTGTACAGGAGGTCCCTGCTTATACAGCATGGATTCCAGGCTACTGCTGTACAGGAGGTCCCTGCTTATACAGCATGGGTTCCAGACTACTGCTGTACAGGAGGTCCCTGCTTATACAGCATGGGTTCCAGGCTACTGCTGTACAGGAGGTCCCCACTTATACAGCATGGGTTCCAGGCTACTGCTGTACAGGAGGTCCCTGCTTATACAGCATGGGTTCCAGGCTACTGCTGTACAGGAGGTCCCTGCTTATACAGCATGGGTTCCAGACTACTGCTGTACAGGAGGTCCCTGCTTATACAGCATGGGTTCCAGACTACTGCTGTACAGGAGGTCCCACTTATACAGCATGGGTTCCAGGCTACTGCTGTACAGGAGGTCCCTGCTTATACAGCATGGGTTCCAGACTACTGCTGTACAGGAGGTCCCTGCTTATACAGCATGGGTTCCAGGCTTCTGCTGTACAGGAGGTCCCCACTTATACAGCATGGGTTCCAGGCTACTGCTGTACAGGAGGTCCCTGCTTATACAGCATGGATTCCAGGCTACTGCTGTACAGGAGGTCCCTGCTTATACAGCATGGGTTCCAGACTACTGCTGTACAGGAGGTCCCTGCTTATACAGCATGGGTTCCAGGCTACTGCTGTACAGGAGGTCCCCACTTATACAGCATGGGTTCCAGGCTACTGCTGTACAGGAGGTCCCTGCTTATACAGCATGGGTTCCAGGCTACTGCTGTACAGGAGGTCCCTGCTTATACAGCATGGGTTCCAGACTACTGCTGTACAGGAGGTCCCTGCTTATACAGCATGGGTTCCAGACTACTGCTGTACAGGAGGTCCCCACTTATACAGCATGGGTTCCAGGCTACTGCTGTACAGGAGGTCCCTGCTTATACAGCATGGGTCCAGACTACTGCTGTACAGGAGGTCCCTGCTTATACAGCATGGGTTCCAGGCTTCTGCTGTACAGGAGGTCCCCACTTATACAGCATGGGTTCCAGGCTACTGCTGTACAGGAGGTCCCTGCTTATACAGCATGGATTCCAGGCTACTGCTGTACAGGAGGTCCCTGCTTATACAGCATGGGTTCCAGGCTACTGCTGTACAGGAGGTCCCTGCTTATACAGCATGGGTTCCAGACTACTGCTGTACAGGAGGTCCCTGCTTATACAGCATGGGTTCCAGGCTACTGCTGTACAGGAGGTCCCCACTTATACAGCATGGGTTCCAGGCTACTGCTGTACAGGAGGTCCCTGCTTATACAGCATGGGTTCCAGGCTACTGCTGTACAGGAGGTCCCCACTTATACAGCATGGTTCCAGGCTACTGCTGTACAGGAGGTCCCTGCTTATACAGCATGGGTTCCAGACTACTGCTGTACAGGAGGTCCCTGCTTATACAGCATGGGTTCCAGGCTTCTGCTGTACAGGAGGTCCCCACTTATACAGCATGGGTTCCAGGCTACTGCTGTACAGGAGGTCCCTGCTTATACAGCATGGATTCCAGGCTACTGCTGTACAGGAGGTCCCTACTTATACAGCATGGGTTCCAGGCTACTGGTGTACAGGAGGTCCCTGCTTATACAGCATGGATTCCAGGCTTCTGCTGTACAGGAGGTCCCCACTTATACAGCATGGGTTCCAGGCTACTGCTGTACAGGAGGTCCCTGCTTATACAGCATGGGTTCCAGGCTACTGCTGTACAGGAGGTCCCTGCTTATACAGCATGGGTTCCAGGCTTCTGCTGTACATGAGGTCCCCACTTATACAGCATGGGTTCCAGGCTACTGCTGTACAGGAGGTCCCTGCTTATACAGCATGGATTCCAGGCTACTGCTGTACAGGAGGTCCCTACTTATACAGCATGGGTTCCAGGCTACTGCTGTACAGGAGGTCCCTGCTTATACAGCATGGATTCCAGGCTACTGCTGTACAGGAGGTCCCTACTTATACAGCATGGGTTCCAGGCTACTGCTGTACAGGAGGTCCCTGCTTATACAGCATGGATTCCAGGCTACTGCTGTACAGGAGGTCCCTACTTATACAGCATGGGTTCCAGGCTACTGGTGTACAGGAGGTCCCTGCTTATACAGCATGGATTCCAGGCTACTGCTGTACAGGAGGTCCCTGTTTATACAGCATGGGTTCCAGGCTACTGCTGTACAGGAGGTCCCTGCTTATACAGCATGGGTTCCAGGCTACTGCTGTACAGGAGGTCCCCGCTTATACAGCATGGGTTCCAGGCTACTGCTGTACATGAGGTCCCTGCTTATATAGCATGGGTTCCAGGCTACTGCTGTACAGGAGGTTCCTGCTTATACAGCATGGGTTCCAGGCTACTGCTGTACAGGAGGTCTCCACTTATACAGCATGGGTTCCAGGCTACTGCTGTACAGGAGGGCCCCACTTATACAGCAGGTTAAGTTCTAGGCTACTGCTGTAAAGTGAAACAGTTTTTTTTTCTACTTTCAAATGCATATAAAAGCCTGATAACAGGTTTACACTACCATATATTAAGTGAGCAATAGAGCTAGGCCTAAAAAGAACCTATGCAGTATGTACATTGCTTACCTTAAAGTATTTTCATCCTTAATTTACAGTGAGTAGTGAATGTATATACATATACAGTGGACCCCCGGTTAACGATATTTCTTCACTCCAGAAGTACAGTGGACCCCCGCATAACGATTACCTCTGAATGCGACCAATTATGTAAGTGTATTTATGTAAGTGCGTTTGTACGTGTATGTTTGGGGGTTTGAAATGGACTAATCTACTTCACAATATTCCTTATGGGAATAAATTCGGTCAGTACTGGCACCTGAACATACTTATGGAGTGAAAAAATATCGTTAACCGGGGGTCCACTGTATGTTCAGGTGCCAGTACTGACCGAATTTGTTCCCATAAGGAATATTGTGAAGTAGATTAGTCCATTTCAGACCCCCAAACATACACGTACAAACGCACTTACATAAATACACTTACATAATTGGTCACATTCGGAGGTAATCGTTATGCGGGGGTCCACTGTATTGTAGGAAATCTGAATAATTGAAAAATAAGTATAATTGAAAATCAGTGCATTAGTGAAGCACTGTAAAGTGGGACCTTCCAGTACTGCATTAGTGAAGCGCTATAAAGCAGGACGTTCCGGTACTGCATTAGTGAAGCGGGGCCTTCTGGTGCTGCATTAGTGAGGCGGGGCCTTCTGGTACTGCATTAGTGAAGTGGGGCCTTCTGGTACTGCATTAGTGAAGTGGGGCCTTCTGGTACTGCATTAGTGAAGCGGAGCCTTTCGGTACTGCATTAGTGAAGCGGGACCTTACGGTACTGTGTTAGTGAAGCGCTGTAAAGTGGGGCCTTCTGGTACTACATTTAGGAGGCAGGTCTACAGGGGCATGGAAAGGTCTTCGTGTCACTTTTATACTCCCATATATCTATCATTCTTTGCATAAACATCTTGATGCATTGTTCTTTTACTCTCTTCTTTTGGGAGTCAGGAAAATAGCGAGTTGTGTGTTAGATAATTCAAAAAGTTACTTCCGTAGACAGGATATATTCTGCCATAATTTATCAGTAAAGAGGTGGATAGTGGAGAGATATACTAAGTGCCTTGTGAGTATAATTTTCAGTTAGTGCTGCATGTTTAGTTTTTTCTAAGTTCTGAATAGGCAAAAACTGTCAAATTTTTGACCGATGCTGTGTACTTATGAGGGTAATCTCTGAGCTTTAGAATGGTAAGAATTGTTGTACAGTACAATACAGTGGACCCCCGGTTAACGATATTTTTTCACTCCAGAAGTATGTTCAGGTGCCAGTACTGACCGAATTTGTTCCCATAAGAAATATTGTGAAGTAGATTAGTCCATTTCAGACCCCCAAACATACACGTACAAACGCACTTACATAAATACACTTACATAATTGGTCGCATTCGGAGGTAATCGTTATGCGGGGGTCCACTGTATATGTATTTACAATGTGATCTAAACTCGAGAGCATTATTGTGCCATAGGAATAAGGCTAAGAATACATTTTAAGGCTTATTTTTCAATTTGGCAGTCCTTGTATTCAAAAGAGGGCAGCAGTGGACAAATTAAAATCAGGGTAGAGTGTATAATACTGCTTAAAGAGTGTGAGAAAGTTTCTTAGTGTAAGGAGAGTATTGTACCCATCAAGGTGGATTTAAGGAAGCTTAGGAACTGATGGAAAACTATTGTTGTTTATGAAGGCAGTAAGTGGGAACTGCTGAGGAGCAATACTGTCCTGCCAGCAGTGTTGCCATTGAGAGCCCAGGAAGGCTAATACATGGGAGTAGACAAGCGCGTGTAGCCAAGATATCAACATGCTTCGCTCGTTGGCCCACGTTTGACGTTCCCAAGTCGAGTTTCGCTTGGGAATGGGAAAGAGAAGACTTCACAAGGGCTTCAAAAATCTCTGTGTAGGTAACAATACTTGCGACCTTGTTTTCGATAACCTTTCAAGTAATCCTATAGATTTTCTTACATGTTTTGCTTCTTAATACTACTGCACTCAAAACTGGATAATTACCATTTTTTTTGCTTATTACTAACCAGGTTGAGTGGGTTAATATTAATTTTCGAAGGTGTTTTAAGCATTAATTAGCTAATGTTAATGTACAGAGTAGAATATTGCAGCTGTTGGTAAGGGATGAGGCTTATGTAATGAAAAGGTTGTATAGCGTGTGTGTGTGTGTGTGTGTGTGTGTGTGTGTGTGTGTGTGTGTGTGTGTGTGTGTGTGTGTGTGTCGTGTGTCTTGTGTGCGTGTGTCTTGTGTGTGTAATTAATTGTGTGGTTGGGGAGTAAAGTTATGCTGGAGGTGTTTTTGTAGTGTTTTACCAGGTAGCACAGAATTATGCTTGTGGTGTTCTTGTGAGTATAGAACTATGTGGTGTTCTTATGAGTAAAGAGCTATGCTTGTGGTGTTCTTGTGAGTATAGAACTATGTGGTCTTATGAGTAAAGAGCTATGCTTGTGGTGTTCTTGTGAGTAAAGAGCTATGCTTGTGGTGTTCTTGTGAGTAAAGAACTATGCTTGTGGAGTTCCTGTGAGTAAAGAACTATGCTTGTGGTGTTCTTGTGAGTAAAGAACTATGCTTGTGGTGTTCCTGTGAGTAAAGAACTATGCTTGTGGTGTTCTTGTGAGTAAAGAACTATGCTTGTGGTGTTCTTGTGAGTAAAGAACTATGCTTGTGGAGTTCTTGTGATTAAAGAGCTATGCTTGTGGTGTTCCTGTGAGTAAAGAACTATGCTTGTGGTGTTCTTGTGAGTAAAGAACTATGATTGTGGTGTTCTTGTGAGTAAAGAACTATGCTTGTGGTGTTCTTGTGAGTAAAGAACTATGCTTGTGGTGTTCTTGTGAGTAAAGAACTATGCTTGTGGTGTTCTTGTGAGTAAAGAACTATGCTTGTGGTGTTCCTGTGAGTAAAGAACTATGCTTGTGGTGTTCTTGTGAGTAAAGAACTATGCTTGTGGTGTTCTTGTGAGTAAAGAACTATGCTTGTATACTCTAGTTTATTACATAGAATACAAAATTGCTTGTGGTTGTGGCATATAATTACCTCGTCTTGACCCAGGGCCGGTCTCCAGGAGCACGGAAAGTCTCAGAACTCATCAAAGTAGTGTATCCGTCATTCCTCTCTTAAGAAGAATCACAGTTCTCACGTTCTTGTATTGTTCATTACTTTGTCTTATCTACTTGCCTGAAATTGTATGTTCTGTTTTCTGCATTGCTTGCTTCAAAAATTCTAATGCGTTATAAAAAAAAAACTCGCGTAAGATTATTGTCTTTCTCTATTTCAACATGTGTTCCAGTTACGACATTACTCATGCCTTTGGTGTCTCTGTTCCATCTGTATTTCTTTGATCTGGAACCCATTTTTTTTCTCTTTTTAACTACTATAATAATAATCTTTTATTTGTACAAGTACAAAGTATACAGGCCTAGCTGACATCAATGGCATATGTACACCATTTTGGGTAAATTACGTCAATTTTGTCCCCTAGGATGCGACCCACACCAGTTGATTAACACCCAGGTACTTATTTTCCTGCTAGGTGAATATGGACAGAAGGTGTCTTAAGGAACTGCATCCTAATGTTTCCACCCATACCAGGGATCAAGCCCTGGACCTCAGTGTGTGAGCCAAGTGCGCTAGCAACCCAGCTATGGGTATAAAATAATGACAGGTTAATAAATAAGAAACACGTGAAAGAGTTGGGTATCGCTGTTGTTGAAACATTTCGCACATACAATAGGCTTTTTCAGTCCAATACAGAGAATGGATTGCAGGCAGCAGAAGTAACTGAGGAAGACTTTGATGAGTTCTGAGTGTGTTTCTACTCTTGGAGCCTGGCCATAGGCCAGCCTACTGCATAGGCAAAATATTTCAGGAATTAAGGTATTCATTTACCATATTTTACGGCGAACAAGGCGCTCCGGTGTTGAGGATGTCCCCCCAATTCTTTTTGGTTAAATTTTTTGGAAAAAGGAAAGGTAACTGGAATTTTGGCCTCCAAGACACTGCGTAAATTTTCAAGACTTATTTTGGGGGAAAAAATAGCATGTTCGATGCCATAAAATATGGTACATTTTCTTTGCATGTGTTGTAAGGGAGGCAGACGAAGTTAGCAGTATACTGTTGCATAGTATACAGTGTGTGGCAATAATCTACCCATTTACCATTCTTCCAAGAATGTTCTTTCTATCTTCTGGTTTGTTACAAGTCTTATTTTCACTGTTACCCGGGAATAACTCTGATAGCCCAGTAACAAATAATAGCCAGGACAAGCACTTGTATGTTGCTGCAAATGCTTACTGTAGAAATATGGCAATATAATTGCTGGCTATTGCAAATACTTTTCAGCTTGGAATATTTTTTTTTTTTGTTAGGTAGGACACAAGTGCAACTAATGCAACATTTTATTGTGGCAATGTTTCGTTCTCCAGGAGCTTCGTCAATTCATTCCAGCTTGACAAAGCTCCTGGGGAGCGAAACATTGCCACAATAAAATGTTGCGTTAGGTGTATTTGTGTCCTTTTACCTAATGTGTTGCCTATAATTCTACCAATATTATTGCAATATTTTTCTTAACTGTGATTTTCCTGAGACTTGTTTTGGGGGTTTTTCTGCTTCAACCCAACCATAGGAGAGCTAGATATTTTGGTCTCTTATCTCCTACTTGTCGTACCTTTTTTTTTGTCGTTACACAGTTCATATTAGAGCTCATTCCACTCTTCTATAACTCTGTTTGTATACAAGTCTGTCTTTTCTGCATACCTGTTTCTGGGTGTGCTTCCTTACACCTGCTGTCCCTGTTTACCTAGTAATCAAGCAAGTAGATACCTGGGTGTTAGTCAGCTGGATTGGGTTGCATCCTGGGGGACAAGATTGAAGGACCCCAATGGAAATATGAGTTCTCGATGATGCACTGACTTATATGGGCCATCCTAGACGGTTAAAAATCCGAACACAATTGTGGCTGCTTAGTCCTCACTTGTCCTCGCTTATCCTTGTTTGTCCTCACATGTCCTCCTTATTGTTGGTTCCCAGAGTTTTTAATTTCTTTATGTAGTATATATACAGTAGTTTTAATTCTTGTATGCACAGTATGGCATGTCTTTTTAACTGTTTTTGGGTGTGTGTGTGTTATATTTCTTAAATGTGGACACCACAGTACAGCTGCATATGTCAATTTAGGTTTTTCACATAACAGTATTTTAAATCAATCCTAACTATTTTCCCATCTACATACAGTGAACCCTCGATTGAACGGATTAGTAGGGGTGGAAGGGGTTGTCCATTAAAGTTGATTGCCCATTAAACTGTGCATTGTAGTTTTTTCCAATAAACCGGCCATATCCCACCGAGGCAGTGTGACCTAAAAAGAAAAACAAAAATTTTTCTTTTTAATTTAGTAATACATGTATATACAGGAGAAGGGGTTACTAGCCCCTTGCTCCCGGCATTTTAGTCGCCTCTTGTGACACGCATGACACGGAGGAAGAATTCTGTTCCACTTCCTCATGGAGACATTGTACTGGACAAAGAAGTAAATACAGTGGTACCTCGGGTTATGAACACCTCAAACCTTGAACAATTATGTAAGTGTATTTATGTAAGTGCTTTTGTAAGTGTATTTTTGGGAGTCTGAAACAGATTAATCTAATTTACATTATTTCTCATGGGAATAAATTCGTTCGGTATTAGCACTCGAACAGCCTTCTGGAACGAAAAAAGTTCGTATCCCAAGGTACCACTGTAATTTGATTTTGACTTGAATCTGAGGCTAAATTTACTCAGGACTGAAACAATAGTTTAAGATACTGAATAAACAACCTTATCCATTAAATCTAGAATCGTTCATAAAATTAACAAAAATAACTGATTTAATGGACTTTTTTAAATCTGAAATGATTTTACCCAGAGGACCATAAGAAGAATGAAAAATTCTGGATTTAACTAATTTCATTATTTCCTAATGTTGTCCGGCTATGGATTTTGTCCATTAGTGCATTCAAACGTTATTTAGTTTGCCGGCACTGAGGCTGTTGATATTGTAGTGCATTAGTGTGATCTAATGGTGATACAGGTACAGATCTAGTATGAAACTAATTATAAAGGATTATTTGGTAGAGCTGAAAGTGGGTGGTTAATGATAAACGTCCTCGGAGGCTTCTTTGTTTACTGAAAAGTCGTGGTGAGTACACAGGCTTGTGTGTTGTGCCCATGGCCCGGGAGGGCCATCCCACGAGAGAGAGCTAGTAGGCCTTCAGTCTTGCTGTCAGACCGCTGTGAGAGAGAGAGTGTGGGACCAGCCTCCCACAGACTTGGACAGGCCCAGAGGGCAGCACCTGAGTGGTGCAAACTATGAACTAAGCTGGCAGACAGCAAGGCTGTCTGTGCAGACAGTACAGGCTGTCTACATAATGAACCTTAAGCTTCAGGGCCCCTAATCCCAAAGGGGGCCCCAGAAGTGACTTTAATCCACATTGCTTAAAATTTTGGGTCTACTGTATAAGAAGTTTTTTATTTTTAACCCTTTGACTGTCGCAACCCCCAATCCTGAGGTGTCTCCTGGTGTCGCAAAATTTCAAAAAAAAAAAAATTTATTTTTTCTTATGAAATGATAGAGAATCTTTTCCCGATTGTAATGACGCCAAAAAAATGAAATTTGATGGAAAACTGACGGAATTATGCTCTCGCGAAGTTAGCGACCTCGGCGATATTTACAAATCGGCGATTTCGCCCACTTTGAGCCCTGTTTTCGGCTAATTCAATTGTTCCAGTCGACCAAACTCATAGCTATTTCTTTAGAACTCCATTTTTTCTATCGATTGAGTACAAGAAACTGCCCATTTACCAATTTCAACTACCCAATAATGTGGTCAGAAATTTGCAATTTGGCCAATTTCACGAAAATTA